AGTGGCTGAGGACTCTAGATTGATGAACAGACTTGCAGAATGTACCCTTTGGAGATGTAAATTATTATATATGCCTGAGTGGTTTTTTTGTTTGTTTTTTTAAAAAGCTAAAGTGGATAGAGAGAAATATTGTTAACTGATGATACATGGAGGGGATTATAATCATTGTAATGAAACAATGCATATGATTTGTTGAATGTAAAACTGATGATATGCCCTGTAAACTTTCACTCAATACACAATAAAAATCTTAAATAAAAAACAAAACAAAAAACAGTAATGGATGAAAGGGGGTGGGGTGGGGCATAAGTGTTAGGTGGTTGTTCTTGTTAAAGTGCTGCTGAGTTGGTTCCGACATACAGCCAATTTGTATAGGGTTTCTGAGGAGTGACTGGTGAGTTTGAACCACTGATCTTATAGTTAGCAGTTATCCTACAGCACCACAACAGGTTGTACTTGTTAATTCACATTTATTCAGATGCAGGTACTAGAATGTTGTTGTTACAAAGCCTAAAATAATGTTCCTTGCCTTTAAGGTGTTTATAATCCAAAGGAGAAAGACATCCCTTAAAAATTAATTTTATTTCAAAGTAGTAAGGGTTTATTAGAGACATTAGAAATGACTATTTGTGGGGAGGTGACATTGCAGTAGGTGGAAAGTGGAAAGAAAGAAGAGTAAGAAGCAAAACTTCCTGGAAAAGTAAGACTTGAAGGACAAATAAAAGTGAGACAGGCGTACTTTAGGCACAAAGGAATGCAACAGCAGCTGTATAGGGGAAACTACCTGCAATTCAATAGAGGGGTAAGAAGACACAAGGAAAGAGGATAATGAGGTCTTGAAGGCTAATGTGTACAGAGGTTACACATTTTATACACTCAACACATTTTATGCATTCAACACTTACTCCTGTGCCATTAGGACGAAGAGCCTTCCTGCTCCTATAAAGATTTCATCTCAGAAACCCTATACTAGCAGGGTTTCTATGTGTCAGAACCAACTCAACAGAAGACAAAAACAGTTGTGCCATGGAATCTTAAGGAATACATGGCTTCAAGGAATCCAGAATTTCCTAGTGTACAGATGTTGGGGAATGTATGCATTTTCTGAGGGAGTCAGGCTCTACAATGGGTTACAAACAAAAACATATATTAATGACTACTGCCAAGGAGCTCTGGTAGCATAGTGGTTACGAATCGGGCTGCGAGCCTTGAGGCCAGCAATTCGAAACTACCAGCCGCTCCACGGGAGAAAGATGAGGCATTCTGCTCCCGTAAAGATTTACAGCCTTGGAAACCCTGTACAAGTCTCTATGGGTCGCCAGTGCAGGCATGAAGCCACGGGATATTTTTATAAATATAGATGAATGACATGGTTAGATTTGCATGTTTATTATGACAGAAGTATAAAGGATGGACTTAAAAGAGAATAATAACAAGGACTTACTATCAGTCAGGTGCTGGCCTAAGTATTTTACTCATTTGATCCTCATAGCAATCCCTATGACATAGGTACTCTTATACACTTTACAAATAAGGAAACTGAGGAACAGTGATGTTAACTACTTTCCCAAGATGTATACAACAGTTATTAAGTGGCAAAGATATCTACAGGACAAGACTGGAATTAGTGAGATAAATTAGGATGCTGTGGAATAGCATAGGCAAGAAATAATGAAAGCTTTAACTAAGACAGAGGTAAGAGAAGAGAAGAAAAGAAGATAGAATTGTGGAGTGAAATC